TCTATCTATCTATCTATCTATCTATCTATCTATCTATCTATCTATCTATCTATCTATCTATCTATCTATCTATCTATCTATCTATCTATCTATCTATCTATCTATCTATCTATCTATCTATCTATCTATCTATCTATCTAGTCTATCTAGTCTATCTATCTAGTCTATCTATCTATCTATCTATCTATCTATCTATCTATCTATCTATCTATCTATCTATCTATCTATCTATCTATCTATCTATCTATCTATCTATCTATCTATCTATCTATCTATCTATCTATCTATCTATCTATCTATCTTGGCACGCGTAACGATGTTGACTGTTTAATTGTTGATCACAATTGGTGGATAAGATGTAGAACTGGACGAGAAGTTCACGCGCATCTTTTTCGTCTTCGAAGCGTTATGTTATTATCACATGACCATTCTTCGCACGCTTTCACGGCTGAGGGGAGATTGGATTGAGAGTCTCTGTGCAGAACTTCCCACGTTGTGGAATCGTCGACGAATTTGACAAGGTCTGTAGCCGGTCATTTAACATGATTAAAAAAAAGATCATCTACAATGATTAAAAAAGTAAGGGGCCTAGTTTTGTTCCCTGTGGGACGCCAGCTTGACTATACTTCCAAGCAGAGTAGTCCTGACCAATCTTTGTGCTCTGTATTCTGTTAGACAGGACGTCATCCAATTAATGAGAACTTTGTGTACGGCCATTAGTTGAACCTTTCTCAGTAAGACGTTATGATCGATGCGATCAAAGGCTTTCGAAAAGTTTAACAGGCAGATCCGTAATGATGAACCAAGGTCGCACGTTTCGTACGACTTATGGAGGAGGTGGACGAGAGTCATGCTTGCACTTGAACCTGGTAGAGCGCCAAGCTCAAGAGGGTCGATCTTTCCAGCGACTGATTGGAAAAGCCAGCGGTAAGGAACGACTCCAGAATTTTGCTAACAATGAGGGAGATGGGACGAAAGTCTGAGTCGATGTCTTGAGCGGGGGAAGATTTGGGTACTGGTGAAACGTTAGCTGATTTCCACAAGGAAGGGACAAAGCCTTGACGGAGGGACAGATTGAAAATGAAGGTTAGTGGGCGACACAAAGTGGATGCGTTCTCACGAAGAAACCGCGCAGACATTTCGTCGGGACCAGCAGCGGAGTGGGGTTTAGTTGAAAGTAATGCTGCTTCGGTATCTTCAACGGATATGATGAATTCGGATGGCTAAACGTCAGGGAGACCCATATCGACTCTGGTAGGTACCCGCCCTGTTGGCGTTTCCCTGCTATTTGTTTAGTCTACAATCTCTCGCAAAAATGCAAAATGTCTTGGATACCCGCAGCTGTGGCACAGGTTATCCTTAATTCTCCGCTTACCACTGTAACATCCGGGAGTTAGCACTTCCGGCGGCAAAAACCCCCAGGCACCTCGAGGAGAACTGGACAGCTGTATTAAAAGGGAGTTTTACTTAGCATAGTTGGGTTTTAAGGTTAAAATACTACATTTGGCGACGAGATAAAATGGCAAATCATGGAAAACTAGAAAAATATGACTCACAAGAGGAATGGAGTCAGTATATTGAGCGGTTGGAATTTTATTTCGAAACAAATGGCGTGGACGACGGAGATAAACAGCGAGCGATATTATTGAGTGTTTGTGGTAGCAAGACGTATAAGTTGATTCGGAACTTAACCACACCAGGAAACCGTCAGAGAAGACGTTTGCAGAGCTAGTAGAACTTGTACAACAACATCAACACCCCAAACCGTCGGCAATAGTGCAACGATTCAAGTTTAATACTCGGTTCCGGAAACCTGGTGAGTCAATTGCTTCGTATGTAGCTGAATTAAGAAGTCTTTCAGAACATTGTGATTTCAAGAGTACCTTAGAAGAGATGTTACGTGATCGGTTGGTGTGTGGAATAAATGACGAACAGATTCAGCGTAGATTGTTAGCAGAAAGTTCTCTCGACTTTAAGAAAGCCATGAAAATAGTTACATCAATGGAGACTGCAGTAAAGAATGCACGAGATTTAACACATCAGATGGCCAATGCAAATATAAATACTGAGAAACCTACTACATTACACCGTGTGGACAACCAAAGACAAGGAAACCAACCATGGTCAAAGCCTGAATGTGGTCGGTGTGAGGGTAAACATGACCCTCAATAATGCAAATTTCGTGATGCTGAGTGTTTCCTGTGCCACAAGAAAGGACGCATAGCAAGAAAATGTCGAAGCTACACTAAGGCGACTGGAAAAAATCAACGAAACGACAACCCTAACTCAGGCACTAGCAGCAACTATTTAAACATTAAGGATGACGAGATTGAAGAGGAAGAGGACAACTATGGGATTTTTAGTCTGGGCAAAGAGCAAGCTGACCCATATGTTGTTGATGTACTGGTGAGCAATGAAAGTCTAAAGATGGAAGTAGATACTGGTGCTGCAGTTAATGTAATGAATGAGGATACATATACATTATTGAAGAAAAACTCCCAAACATAGAGGTGAACGAATCATAAGGAAGACTAAATACCTATACGGGGGAGCAAGTTAAAGTGTTGGGTCAGGTGGAGACGTCGGTGAAGTATGAAGAGCAAGAAGGCGTATGGCCTTCACTAGTCATTACGGGGAAGGGCCCTAACTTGATTGGCAGAAATTGACTTCAAAAGATTAAAATAAATTGGAAGAATTTATTTCAGTTAAAAGAAGACAAGAATACCTCAGTCAAAGTTAATAAGTTACTTGAGAAGTATGAGGAAGTATTTCATGAAGAGTTAAGAACATTTTCTGGTCCCAAAGCCAAAATATATGTGGCTGATGATGCAAGTCCAAAGTATTGCAAGGCAAGACCTGTTTCCTATGCATTGAGGGAAAAAGTAGTAAAGGAGTTAGACAGATTGCAAGAAGAGGGCTACTAAACTATAGAGCCTGTAGAGATTGGGCAGCGCCAATCGTACCAATCGTTAAGGATGATAAGTCGATAAGAATTTGTGGGGATTACTCTCTCTTCCCCAGAGGCTTACATGAAGTTTCTAGTGAGGGAAAAGTGAGCACGCAAGGAATGATGGGAAGAGCTAAACAAAGGAAGCCTCTGCGAGTTAATGCAATCAATATGGCGTCGTATATAATTGTTTGTAGCGAAGTTCGATCAACTATCGGGGGGTGTTAAAACATGTTTTCGACTTTCATTTTCAGGCCAATCTCGTTCCCCGAGCCTGCGATCCTTGGGAAGGAAACGAAGGCTCTGGGATAATCCATGTCAGAAATGAATATGATTGGTTGCTGGTATACAATGGAATGTTGCAATTTTGCAAAAATTAATTTTTAACCGTATATTTTTATATACAACATGGCGGCCGTTTAGGAGTGTACGAATATTGTTTTGGTGTTTCAGAGCTGTGCTATACTAAAGGAAATGCGAAAAAACGTATACTTAATGCGTATAATATCACAACAGTTAAATGGAGCGTGAAAACTTTACTGATACTTGTGTTGTACAGGTTTTCTGTAATTTTAATCTATACATAGTACACAGTACTATCAAGTACACTGTACTATTTGACTATAATATCAAATACGTGCTATATTTTGCAAATACTATTTGTGTCAGAAATGGTTAATAACTTTTATTAATTTGTTTTTGTGTTATTTAATTGCGAAGAACTACTAGCTATTATAAATGACTACTTAACGAAGAAATAGCTAATGACTTGTTTCAATAAATCCAATCTTGGGATTTACTGTTATCTATTTTATTATTTAATGTATATAGTGTACTGTAAACTTTTCAAGTGCAGGAGAATGTAATACTCATTTTAACTTGTAGCATGTAACCCTTCCCTATATGCAAAACCTTTATTCTCTAAATAAACCACAATTTCACAGGCAGTGATATTAACTTGTATTCCAGTCTGCATACACCTAATACATATAGTGAATTCTTGGGTTCCACTATGGCATTTTTCATGTTCTGACAGGGGGTCAACCTAAAAAGTATTGATGCTTATGCTGTACTGCAGTGAGCAAATGATGTGAAATTGCATGTATTTGCCACCAAACACAAGGCCAACACATACAGTGAAAAATTAATTCACTCTGATGACTGTGTCTCGATTTAGAGTTGACCCCCGTCAAATTTATGACGTCATATGAAAAACAATAATATACAGTATAATATTACAGCTAACTGTAGCAGAAAGTATTTAATAATTTAAATTTATTGAGTAGTACAATATGCCAAATTGGCAATCCCTTTATTAATCTTGTCCACACAGTAATTCTCAGAAGCCCTGCACTCTGTACGAGGTTGTATTAATTGGATTCTGTCCAAGAAAACATCATAAACCTTTTCATCCAAGTATGAATTCCAGATTGGGAAACCATATAAATATTTTTAATAAATTCAGCCACTAATACCAGAAATGATTTTCATCAGCTTCCCCCTGTTATGACCCCCTGCAGGGAACCACCTAGGGTGCAGGTATAAATTTGTGATGAATGATGAAAAATTGCCCAATGTAAATGCCAAGCCATAGAAATATTTTTATTACCATGGTCATGACAACTACCCTGTCAGTTTGATTGCAATATCAAAACTTGTTATTTACACTATAAAACAACACATACCTACTCTGAGAAGGGGCAACAAAAACTCAGTTTTTCCATTCCTATCCAATTCAAATCATGCTGGCCACGAAAACAATTTTCTGATTGCCGATACAATAAATTGCCAAATGCCTGACAATTTGGGCCAGCGACGCCCCTGAATGCTACAATGATAGCAACCTCTATTGCTATTACATCTCCAACCTTGAATGTCCTATTTAGTACAGTAGTTAATTAATTAATGGCAGTAATCAACATGAAGTCAAGTACATTTCTGGCCATTGGTGAGAAATATTGTCCAGAAG